CTCCCTTTTCCCTTAACTTACCTGTGAAATAACAGTTTTACCACAACCAAAAGCCCCAGGAATGGCCGTAGTACCACCCTGGACACAGGGGAACAGCGAATCCAACACCCTCTGACCCGTAAACAATGGATGATTGGCTGGCAATTTCTCAATTACCGGTCTGGGTTGACGCACTGGCCACACCTGCAACATGGTGTGCTTTGTCACCTCACCATCAAATTCTGTTTCCAAGACGACATCTTCCATGGTGTAATTACCAGGTGGTGCAATATAACGCACCGTACCCTTACTGCGTGGACTAACCATCATTCGATGTTTAACCAAAGTGTTTTCAACGACAACACCATACAAATCACCTCCGGTGATGTGGGATCCCACCTTGACATTGACGGGGCTAAATTCCCAAGCGGTGCTACGTGACAGGGCGTGGACATTAACACCCTTGGGTATATAAATGGAGCTGGTCATTTCACCAATATCACGCAACGGACGTTGAATACCATCAAAAATACTACCCATAATACCGGGACCCAATTCAACGGATAAGGGTTTACCGGTTCGCAGGACAGGATCGCCCACGGTAACACCGGAAGTTTCCTCGTACACTTGAATGGTGGCCATATCACCCTCGAGACGAATAATTTCACCAACTAGTTCATAGTAGCCGACACGTACCAATTCGTACATAGCCGAACCGGACATGCATTCGGCGGTAACGACTGTCCGATGGGGAGAGAGGGGGAGACAAAGAGTATAGAAAATCATTATTGAGTTGGATAGGTTATGTGAGGTGGCCATTTACCTGGTCCAGATACAGCAAATACTCGTCCATATTTGGATTCTCGCTCCTCATCAGCGAAACGTTTCAACAACGACATTTTGGCAGGATGTGCTGAAAGAGTAAGGAGGAGTAAAACGAAAAATATTAGGACAAAGTAAAATGAAAAAAATGATAGGCTAATAGGAAAATATGATTATACATTTATATGAAAATTGTGGTCCAACAACCATAACCTAAAAATTTGTCCCAATTTTTTTATTTTTATTTTGAAATGTACAGCCACAAACAAATTTAATAGAATTTTTTATATGAAATTTTATCTGTATAAATATGAAAAGTCCATATTTTTGTTTTATATGGAAATCGAGGTCTAACATCCATAACCCAAAAATTTTTCAGAATTTTTTAAAGTTTTTGAAAATTTCAACCTCAAATTTAATATAAATTTGTATATGGATATTTAATCTGTATAAATGTAAAAAATGCATAGATTATTTTTACATGGAAATTGGAAAATAAAATTTATAATCTCAAATTTTTTCCAATTTTTTAAATATTTTTATAAAATTTTCAAAATTTTAATACAAATTACAACCTTGAATTTATGGAATTGTATATGGAATTTTATCTGTATAAATTCTGTATATATATCTGTATATATAAAAAACATGGAATTTTTTATACATAGAAATTGCGAATCAAAATTCATAACCTCAAGTGTTGTCCGACTATTTTTAAGATTTGGAAAATTATAATCACAATTTCAATACAAAACATTATATATGGAATTTATATGTGAATTAAATACATGCAAAAATTTATTGTTTTTACTTGCACTCCAAAAATGTAAACTCTAAAATTTTAAGTCAAGTTCTGTCTCAATATAACCTCAATTTTTTCAAGTTCTTTTTTTTTGAGATTTTCTTGTTTTGATATATTTTCCTAGATATTTTTTTAATATTCGGTACTTTGCCGAATTTTTTTAGGGAGTCATGAAATGTAAGAAAATTTAAAATGGCGTCTTAAACATAACCTCAATTTGTGGTTTTAAAATTTTTTGAAAAATTTGAAATGGTTTTCGGAACATAACATCAACATTAAATGGCTCAAAAATTTAAAAAAAAATTCAACATAATCTCAAATTAGGCTTAAGATATTTGGAGAGAGAGGGAGCTTACCCCTCGCTCCTCTCTCTGCAAATATCTTAAGCCTAATTTGAGGTTATGTTGAATTTTTTTATAGTCAATTTTTGTACAGAATTTAATACTATTTATGTGATGAAGACATTTCTTTTCCGAAATTTCACACAAGTTTTTCTCATTGTATGGGTAATTATCCTTTCAAAATTATTAATATCGGCCAATCTTTAGGTATAGACCCCCACCCCAAATATATAGGTCCACCCAAAACGAAGTGGCTTCACAAAATCTAGCCAACTTCTTCACAAAACATTTTCAAAATTCATAAGCTCAAGATTCTACAGGCCCCCATTCATTTTTTGGGTATACTGGAGATCATAGTTCCCAATTAAAACCATTTCTTGTGTATGTTGGCATTTTCGCCAAAATTATACCAAAAATTGTTAACAGATTTTTAGTTTTTTTTTTAATTTTGAAGTCAACTTGTTTCAAATTTTATTTTTTGCTTCTTTGTTATTAAAAAACAAAAACTTCGGACAAAGTATTTTTCAAACCATGTCCTTGGTACACTTGTGAAATTCCATCACCAGAACCAACCCAACACCAACACGAAGAAAACTCACTATTCCTTGAGGGACAATTTTAATCCATTTTTTTTTTTAAATTTGTTTAAATTATTTTTTTTTTTAAAATATGGTTACTTTGTTTTTTCTTCCTTTAGAAACTATTATGAAATTTGGTCATCTCAGTTTTGGAACAATGTTGTAGTCCTTACGACAAAGAAACTTTTTCATTTACAAGCAACCACCACTCATCAATTTTCGTTTTTTGTTGTTGTTGTTGTTCTTTTTCATTCGTCGTGGTTTTTTTTCATCTCCTCCTCGTCGTCGTCTGTTTGTCTCTCTGTCGTATGTCAGGCCATGAAGAAAATCTATACTGCTTCAGTCAACTTGGTGAGGAAATCGAACAAAAAAGGATTATGACATTGCAGGAAATGCTGATGAGGATTTTCTCGATTCATTTAATTTTATTTTTACTAAATTTGCGTTTTTTTTTAATTATCAAAACATTTTTTTTATTCTCACACTCTCCCAAATGTTTTGGGGTTTCTTTTTTAAACAAAAACACAGTTTTTTTTTTAAATGGATTACAAGAGTTTTCTTTTCCAATGTTTTTTTTGGCAATCGTTTTGCAGAATTTCCTTTCATTCATTATTTTCGCTTAAAAAAGTGATTTTAAAAATTTTAATTTGCTTTATTTTTGTATTGTTAAATCCATCCATGGGTTTGAACAATTTGACACATTTTCTTTTCAAAGCACATCAAATTTACTTACTTTTTTGTCCCTAAATTAAAAATTATAGATTTTTTTCTTCTAATTTTTTTTTCGTCTGCTGTACTCTGGATACCGAACCGTTCGATACGATTTGATGTTCTCAAATGAAAAATTTTTTCACACAAGAAGTATATTTTCCTTGTGAGAGTTTTTTTTTCTGGTTGAGAGGAAGAGAGTAAAATGAGAGCAGCGAATTTATTCCCAGAATATATATACGATGATGATGATTGGGGGACAAGTGTTTTTGTTTTGTGGCGAGTGAGTCGTGCATGCCACTCTGCGCATCACAAAATCATGCGCCAATTTTTTTTAAGATTTGTCACACACAATTGGCCGAAAGGAGGATTGAAAGAAACGCCAAAAAAAAAAATGAATTACGTTACTGTTGCCATCTCCCATCAAAATGGGATATGGCAATATTTTGGTGACATTTGACAGGTGGAGGGTCTAAATGAAAGCGTGTTGGGCGTAAAGACTGTAGAAGACCCAGAGGTCTTCTAATTGCTATAGAAGACCTAGAGGTCTTCTTATTGCTATCGAAGACCTAGAGGTCTTCTTATTGCTATCGAAGACCAAAAGGTGCTCTATTTCCTATAGGAGACCCATCGGTCTTCTATTTGCTATAGCAGACCCATAAGTCCTTTATTTGCTATAGAGGACCAATTGGATTTCTATTTGTTGTAGAGAACCCATATGTCTTCTATTTCTTATAGAAGAACCAGGGGTCTACTATTTTCTATAAAAGGCCCATACGTTTTCTGATTGCTAAATAAGACTCATAGGTCTTTTAATTGCTATAGAATACATAGAGGTCCTCCATTTGCTATAGAAGACCCATAGGTCTTCTAATTGCCATAGAATACCAAAAGGTCTTCTACTTGCTATATAGTACCCACAGGTCCTCAATTTGCTATAGAAGACCCATAGGTCCTCAATTTGCTATAGAAGACCCATAGGTTTTCTATTTGCTATAGAATACCAATAGGTCTTCTTTTTGCCATAGAAGACGTAGATGTCTTCTAATTACTATGGAAGACCTAGAGGTTTACTAATTGCTATAGAAGACCCAGAGGTCTTCTATTTGCTATAGAAGACCCAAAGAATCTCCTATTTGCTATAGAAGGCCCAAAGAATCTCCTATTTGACCAAAAGCTCTTCCATTTGCCATAGAAGACCCATAGGTCTTCTATTAGCTATAGAAGACCCATAGGTCTTCTATATCATATAGAAGATTCATAGGCCATATATTTTCTATAGAAGACCCATGGGTCTACAATTTGCTATATAAGACACAAAGGTTTTATATTTGCTAAAAAAGACCCATAGGTCTTCTATTTGCTATAAAGACCCATTGGTCTTCTAATTGTCCTAGAAGACCCATTGGTCTTCTAATTGTCCTAGAAGACCCATCGGTCTTCTAATTGTCCTAGAAGACCCATAGGTCTTATATTTGCTATTGAAGACCCTGAGATCTTCTATTGTCTGTAGACGACCCAGAGGTTTTCTATTGTATACAGAAAACTCTGAGGTCTTCTATTGTCCTTAGAAGACCTTACAATCTTATATTCCCCATGGAAGGTCCAGAGATATTTATTTTATCTACACAAAATTTAGTTGGCCCCTTTTTGGAACTCATGGAACACCTCTGCGAGTATTTAGATTTTCACCTGAACTTCTCCTTAAATGTGTTTTCCTTCGTCTGTCCTAATAACCACCCTTCTTTCTTTTTAATTTCCCTTTTACAGGCCAAACGTACACCCTCCAAACGGTTATCCTATGTAGAACGTGCCCGCCTTGAAAGTGAGGAATTGGTTAAAAATATGGGTGGCTCATTGGAAATGGAAGGTGGTCGAAGGACGCGCTCCAGTACCCGTGGTACACCAACCAGAGCGGCAGCTGCCGCTACACCACCGCCAGCTAAAAAGGCACGTACTTCACCGGCCAGTGGTGCCAGTACGCCGACACGTGGACGTGGGCGTGGACGTAAATTAGACACATCCACAGATAATGCTGCTGGCGAAGAGGAGGAGAAGGAAACCACCAAGGCCGCTGCACCAACACCAAGTAAAAAGAAAACACCAGCCAAGGGCGGTAGAGGTGGAGGTAGAGCGGCAGCAGCTGCCAAAAAAGAAGAAGCCGAAAAGGAACAAATGGAAACGGAGGAAGGGGACGAAGAGTCGAAGGTAGGTGGTGGATACACCTTTCTTTTTTCTTTGTTATAAATTGAAAATAATTATCAATTTTCTTTAATAGAAATCTGAGGACAAGAAAAAACCCCAAGAGGATGAAGTAGTAGATGCCGCCGTCGCCAAGGAATCAGAAGAACAAGACAAATCAGAAACCCCAGCTGTAGAGGCAACAAAGAACGAGGAAGAGAAGGTGAAAAAATCAGAAACCGATGCTACTGCTGAGGCTGAAACACAAGAAACAAATAAAACAGATGAAGAAAAATCAGCTGCAGATAATGTGGCAGAAGAAACAGCCACCGCCGCCGCACCGGAGTCTGCTACAGAGGCAGAAGCAACCAAACCCACAGAAACTGCAACGGAAGAACCACCTGCTAAAGATGTCACCGACACAACAACACCAGTAACACCATTGCCAGCCGTTACAGAAGAAACTCAATCCCAAGTGGTTGCGGCTGAGGAATCTACCGCCAAATCGGATGATGTGGTGGTCCTGCAATCCGATTCCAATGATAGTCCCATGAGTTCAGATGATGTGGAATTGGTTAATGAACAGATTGAAACCCCAACTTCTGCCGCCGGTGGTGGTGAGGAACCAAAAGAAACAACACCTGCTGCAGCCGCCCCCGCTGAAGCCAGTGAAACGGTTCTCATTGAATCTAAGGACACAACACCCGAACCCATGGAAGTTGATTCATCCTCATCGAGTAATGATGTTGTCGAAAAAATGGATGAAGATGTGGTAGTTGAATCACAAACAAGCAATGCAACAACCAGCACTACCGCCCCCCAAGATACGGCAACATCGGAAAATCATGAAAATAATGAGGCTGCCACAACAACACCAACAAGTGATCCTAAGGAAAATTCAGCAACAACAGAGACAGCTGTTGCCAATGCTGTTGGTGCTACCGATGTCACCGACAATTGTAATTCAAGCAATTCTTTGGAAAAGGATTCAGCGTCCAGCGATGTTGCCGTTGTTAACAATAATGCTGAAGAATCTTCGACAACAACAACAACTACACCTGCAATTACTAAAACAAATGAAAATGATTTATGTAAGTATATCGAATAGATAGAATAATAAGAATTTGTCTACAGAAGACGTTGAGGTTTTCTGTTGTCTATAGGATACCTTAAGGTCTTGTATTGTGTTTAGCAGATCTTCAGGTCTACTATTGTTTTAGGAGACCTTCCATAGAAGACTTTCATGTCACCTAGTGTCTATGAAAGACATTGAGGTCTCCTATTGTCTATAGAAGACCTTGACGACACCTTCAATTGTCTATGGAAGACATTGAGGTCTTCTACTGTCTACAGAAGATTTTGATGTTTTGTTATTGTCTTTATAGTGCCTATAAAAAAATTGAGGTCTTCTTGTGTTTATAGAGGTCTTTCATTGTCTATAGAAGACTTTGAGGTCGGTCTTCCATTGTCTTTAGGAGATCTTGACGTTTTCTTTAGGTTAGGTTAGGTTTGGGATGTACGGCTGTTGTAACAACCGTCCACTCGGAGACTATGTCCATTGTGATCATCCATTATGTATAGGTGTACCTATAAAGAGAGAGAAGAAAAGATAGTGGAAGAGTAGAGAGAGAGGTAGTCAGAATAGGAGGGAGCGGAAGCGGAAGAGACATTATTTTAGCCAAGTCAATTTTTTGACAAAGCCTAGAATTAGGTTAGGGTCTATTTTGGAGAAGAAGACTAGATTATCAATTTCATAACATCCAAACTGTTTATGTCTTCTGCTGATCAGCGATGGACATTTGCAAAGGATGTGCTCAATTGTTTCCACTTCTTCTTCATCCTCACATAGACGACAGTAATCCTCTCCACTGGAGTCCCACTTAGAAGTGAGAGATCTAACTTTGCAGTGACCAGTAATGATCCCCACAACGATCTTAATCTCCCTCTTGTTGTGATCCAGCAGCGAAGACGTTCTTTTATGAGAGAATTCTGGCCAGATGGATTTAGAGATTCTGCATGCAGGTTCCCTTAGCCATCTGTTGCCGACTACCTCGCAATAGAACGCACGGATTCTGCCAATGAAATAGCTAATAGGGGGTTTCACAGATCTCTCAATCAGAAGACTGGACGACTGTGACCCCCCTCGAGCAAGCTCGTCGGCTATCTCATTCCCTTCAATATCGTTATGTCCTGGAACCCAGCATAACCCAACTGTTTGACGTATATCATTCAGAGCGGTCTTACAATCATGAACTGCTTTCGAGTTTATAGTATGCGACTTCACCGCTTTCAGGGCCGCCTGACTATCTACGTAAATAGTCACCGGTCCTGTAAAGTCTGTATTAAGTGCTTTTACTATCTCGGCCGCTTTCGTGATTGCAAGAATCTCTGCTTGAAAAACGCTACAATCATTGTTGAGTTTATATGAGTTTCGTATACCTAATTCCCTGCAGTAGACGCCTGCGCCAGTGCCTTCTTCCATCTTGGACCCGTCTGTGAAGACTGACAGACCTGGCAGAGGTAGGGAGCCACTAGTCCAGGATTCCCTGTTAGGAAATTCGACTTTAATGTCATTAAAATCCCTGTGGGGGGGAATATAATCACTGATATGACTATCCCCCCTAAAAAGGTCATAACTTGGCGTTATGTTTAGAATGCTGGCATGACCATAGTTCCGCGATTTCAAGGCATCTGTTTCCCGGAGTCTCAGGGCACACCTAGCAGCCTGGAATTTGATCAGAATGTCCAATGGTTGGAGATTCAAGATTGCGTTCAAGGCTGCTTGTGGTGTGCTTCTTAATGCTCCAGTGATCAGAATTGAAGCCGATCGCTGTACTAAGCTCAGTCTTGTCAGCAGCTTCTTTTTATTCACCCCCTGCCACCAGACAAGACATCCATAGGTAAGTATGGGTAAGACAATCGTCGTATACAGCCAGTGTATAATTCCGGGTCTCAATCCCCAACTCTTGCCTATGGAGTTCTTGCATGAATAGAGTGCCATCAATCCCTTCTTAGAGCGTTCCTCGACATTCCTATTCCACAGTAACTTGCGGTCTAGGACAGTGCCAAGATATTTAGCTTCATCAGAGAGAGTTAATGTCACTCCACCAAGTGATGGCAGACGGAAACTAGGAACTTTGTATTTCCTAGTGAAGAGTACCAGTTCGGTTTTTGTGGGGTTTACACCAAGACCTTTGGTGCAAGCCCAATTTGACAGGGTTGAAAGAGCACCCTCCAGGATGTCTGATATTGTCGTAATAAACTTACCCCCAACCAACAAGACTACATCATCGGCATAGGCTACAACCTTTATCCTGAGATGATTGAATTTCATAAGTATCTCATTTATCACCAGAAGCCACAAAAGGGGGGAAAGAACTCCACCCTGAGGTGTGCCTCTGTTGACAGATTTCCTCACGGAACTCTCTCCTAGGGATGAGTTGATAATTCTGCTTTCCAGCATTCTATCAATCCATTCCGTAAGGAGTGAGGGGATACCTATGTCTACGAGAGCAGAATGGATTGCCTCTAGCTTCACATTGTTGAAAGCTCCTTCGATGTCGAGGAATGCTGCCAACGTGTAGCCAGAGGACTCCATATTCTTCTCGATGTATCCAACCACCTCATGCAGAGCTGTATCCACTGATCTGCCCTTGATATAGGCATGTTGGGATTCACTAAGTTTATTACGGTCAATGGTATCTCTAATTTCTGAGTCTAGTAACCTTTCTAAAGTTTTTAGTAGAAAGGAAGAAAGACTAATCGGTCTATAGTCTTTAGGTACCGTATGACTCGGCTTCCCGGCTTTCGGGATGAAGGTCACGGTAACCTCTTTCCATAGACTGGGTATGTACGACAAAAGTAAACAAGCCCTAAAAATGTCCTGCAGATATGATATTATCCGTTCATCTGCGTGTTGCAGCATGGCCGGTGTTATACCATCTGGACCAGGAGATTTGTAGGGTTGAAAACTATTTATCGCCCATATCAGTTTTGGGTATCTTATAGTGTCTTCTATCATCTTCTCCTCTTCCCTCGTCCGAACTGTAGGCTGATGCACACACTGCGCATCTTCCCTATAGTCCTTACAACCAGGAAAGTGGGTTGATGATAGAAGATCAAGAGTCTCACTGCCAGAGTTTGTCCACGTTCCATCACTTCGCTTAATACTTCCTATGGATTTTGGATCCTTAGAGAGTACTCTGCGGAATCTGGCCGCTTCGTTGACTCCTTCGATCGACTCGCTATAGCAGACCCAAGACTCACGTTTAGCTTTCTTGATTTCGCCCTTGTACCTATTGAATTGTCTTTTATAGACATCCCAATCTGTACTGAGCTTTGTCTTACTAGCTCTATTATAAGCTTTCCTTGCAGCCTTCCGCAAGGTTGCAAGGTCCTGTGACCACCATACCGGTTGAGATTTCTTCCCAGGGTATGTCAGGGGACAAGATGCCTCATAGCTCTTCAGAAGAGTGGCCGTGACATTTTTCACAGCTAATTCAACATCCTCAACCGTTTTGAGATCATTACGATCCCGAAAAGAGGCTGCTGTTTTAGCTTTGAATTTGTCCCAGTTCGTCTTCCGAGGATTCCTATAAGGTTTCTGTTTAACTCTAGAGGTAGGAATCTGGAAGGATATGAGTCTATGATCCGAAAAGGAACATTTCTCAGACACCTCCCAGTTTACGACCCCAGAGTCGTCCATATTTGTGAGGGTTATATCAATGACTTCACCTCTCACCCTATTTACAAAAGTTGGTGTATTGCCTCTATTACAAATTCTAAGATTATAGCTAAGTATAAACTCGAAGATGGACTCACCTCTTGTGTTTGTGTTGCTGCTTCCCCAATAGAAGTGATGTGCGTTGGCGTCACATCCCAAGACGAGGTCACCAACTCTACTCATCTCCTCCAATAGGCGGCATACAGCAGTGCCGGGTGGGTCAGGAGCTTCGTAGGGAAGATAGACGGCAGAGACTATCAGTGGCTTCGTGGTACCTCTGTCTAGTCTTGCTGTCGTCATATCTCCATTGCTGAAATTAGAAAGAAGCATTAAATTTAACTCCTTTTTAGCAAGAATACACGTTCTCACCTTCTCTCCATTGGAGGTAGACAAAAGCGTGTATTTGGTGTCGCCCAGTCCAGTCACCTTACCTTTGTACAGGTAAGGTTCCTGGATGAGCGCCACGTCGATGTTTGAGGAAGAAAGGGTGAGTAGCAGTTCAGCAGCTGCTGCTTTACAGTGATGCAGATTTATCTGGATCACGTTAAGCGCTTGCTGCTGCCTGCCTATTGTTTTGGAGTGGTGAGACGGAAACAAAGTTTCCCCATTCCATAAACAAGCTCACCCTTGTTCTTCCTCAAGTACTCCTCTCCCGCAGAATCGGTAGCGAACTTCGCGACTACACCGCCGTTCCTTTCAAACGAGGCGAGGATTCTCCACCTCCTCGTCTGAAGGCCGTCGTTCTGCTTCTCCAATAACCTCAGTGTCTTCTCCAGCCCCTTGAAAGGTTTTGGGATAAACACCGAGGTTACCATACCGCTCGGTATCTCTTGAACCGCTACGGCCGCCAGACGACCACCCTCCCAAAGGGGGTCCAGGCTGTTGATTGTCTTCTTAAGAAAATCTGAAGTCTTCTTAGTGCGACAATCAACAACCTTTACTCCTTTGTAAGAGGAGGTCAGGCCAAACCGCAGGCTCTCTCGATCAACCTCGTCGGACAGGAAGAGGTCCTTCAGATAGCTGTCGACCAGCTCCCATCTCTCCTCACTGATAAACCCGTCAGGGTCAGCTCGGTCGATGATCGCTACCCGCAGATCTTCCGGAACCTCTTTTGGATCAGCAGAGTCGCTTTGCTTAGTTGTAGGTGTCCGGGCTACCTGCTTCGAGACAGCGTGTTTGGTTTTCACCCCACAATCGCTGCTCTTGGCAGGTTTCTCCTTCGACGCTACCACCGAAGCAAAGGAAGCAGAGCTCTGTACGGCCGACGACTGCGTGGGCCTCTTTGCAGCAGGTTGTTGCTCCTCCGAGGACCTCATTCTCTTGACAGCCGTGGGCTGTGGCCGAGATTTGGCACCCGGGGTAGCAGCTACCACAGAGGTATGCCCAGCAGACGCAGGCACCTGCTTCGCGTCCGCTACCTTCTGCTTAACCACTGACGACTGCCCAATTGTCACCGCCTTGGCTGTCAGCTTTGGCAATTCGGCAGAAGGTGGATTGACAGAGGGCGGTTGTGCCTTATCGGTCTTCTTGGAGGCCTTTTTGCGGGCTCTCTTTCGGGCCGACTTCGACAGTCCCCTGCCTTCTGTCTTTGTGGATTCTGATGTCTGAGACGTCTCAGTACTCAGTTTACCCTTTGGGGGTGCTGAGGGCTTAGACGTCTCAGGCATCAGCTTCCTGGATGTACCGGGGCCATCAGCAGGTTTCTCCTTCTTAGAAGGGACTACCGCCGTGGTCTTAGTACTGGGTCGGGGGATCCTGTCAATCAAGAAGTCCCTCTCAATGTCATCAGGATAGTTCCTAGAGAACTTCCTAATGAGTTTGAGGTTCCTCTTGATTAACAGGAACTCCTTACCCGTGATGGAGTCGCTGTCCCGTCCAATGTACCGTTTGCAGAAATTGACTGCTCTCCGATACATTTTCTTGGCAGCGATCTCCTTAGCGTTAGCTTGTCTATCAGATAATGGTACAGATGAATCATCCATCTTAACGATGGGAGCCTCATCGGTGCCAGCATCTGCTTCGACAGCCAACTGCCTTAGAAGCCTCGCGACGTCACTGCAGGCCGTGGAGGTTGAGTCAACGTCTTCAACCTCGCCAGGGTTTGCCTCCTTAGTCAGCCGAGGGGACCCTCCTTGCTTCAGGGGAGACATCATGGTTTCTACCGTACTTATCACCGTGGTTCTAATAACGGTGGTTTCCATAATGTCATCCTCGTCCGACAAGAGAGAGTCATCCCAGAGCTGATTTGGGATGCTCTCCTGACTGAGGCGGAAGGAGCCGGTTTCCTCTAGAAGGTCGAGGAGAAGATTCGACTGCCTCTCCAGGCTCGCATTTACGTCATCGAGAGATGGACAGGTGGCTAAAGATAGGTCCAGGGGAATTGCTTGGGTCGTCAACACTTTGGGGGAATCATTGATGTCTGACCTTGTAGAGTTCGAGACTGAGGGTGCCAAGGCAGCCACACCAACATCAGTCGAAGGTTCGCATTCATTGTTGTTTTGTTTTTTGGGGGGGGGGGTGTATTAAAAATTGGCTCCATAAAAAGTGCTGTTAGTGAGGATTTGAGGTCGACCATGGCATAGCCTCTTACCATGGAAAGGACTTGGCAACTAAGCCTGAAACACTTGTTGAGGCGCCCAGGTATCAACAAGGCTCCGTTCTAATACAGTCGGTACCCTGACTGCAAACCGTGGAACGCTGATAGGCACGAGGTCGCATGACACCCCAGCGTTAGGGGAGACACTTTAAGAAGGTAGTGTCCCAAACCTTGAGATGGATATATGGGAGGGGCGCCATTCTCGCCTCGTCGACTCAGGGATCATTGGCACTCGGTCATTTCCTCCGAGACTCTCCCCCTGAGCCCGCTGATTGTCCGCGACTGTTTATTGGTTATTAACAGTTACCCAACGAATGGTGTTGGGCTTTCCACTATCCGCAACCTGTGGACGCGTCCGATAGCATTCAGCTTTGCTCCCCGTAGGCGGCTATATAGCATTCAGCTTTGCTCCCCGTTTTCTTTGGCTATAGAAAACTTTTTATTGTCTATATAAGATCTTGAGGACTTCTATTGTCGACTTTGAATTTTTATATTGTGTATGTTGTCCTTAGAAAACCTTGGGGTCTTGTATAAACAATATAGACTATAGGCAATATAAGACCCGAAGGTCTTCTAAGAATAATAAAAGTCATTGGACCCTTGAAAAATAATTATTTAAAAATCCACGCTTTGAAGGTTATTTGGGTCTTGAAAAATAATTATTTAAAAATTCACGCTTTAAAGGATATTTGGGTCTTTGAAGGTCTTCTAAGAATAATAAAAGTCATTGGACCATTGAAAAATAATTATTTAAAAATTCACGCTTTAAAGGATATTTGGGTCTTTGAAGGTCTTCTAAGAATAATAAAAGTCATTGGACCATTGAAAAATAATTATTTAAAAATCCACGCTTTGGAGGTTATTTGGGTCTTGAAAAATAATTATTTAAAAATCCACGCCTATGAGGACATTGGACCACTGAAAAATAATTATTTAAAAATCTACGCTTTGGAGGTTATTTGGGTCTTGAAAAAATTATTTAAAAATCCACGCCTAGATACTTGAAACCCCCTGAGGTGTTCTTTTGCTTATAGAAGTTAATTTTTCCAATTTTTCTCATTTTCTATTCTCATTTTATTTTTAGGCGAACCAAAAATTGCCACATCTCCAACAACAATTACAGCGGCCAATGATAACAGCTCTGCCACAGCCACAGCAACAACAACGACGCCGCAAACTTGTAATTAGGGAAGATAACAACAACAACAGCAAATTTGGAGCTTTAACTCTAGCAATAATGCCGCCGCCTGTTCTCTAATGTGCGCTGCTGCTGTGCAACAACGGCAATATCACACAAAATCCAAACCCAACTAAGCCCCCCACAAAAACACATCTAAATAATTACCTTACCTATCGTCGTATATATCATTTATTACAACAACAAAAACAACAACAGAAAACAAGAGTTATAGGAAAAGTGTTAAATCACCGTTTTATCTTAAATATAAAAATAAAAACAAATAATAATAGAATTTAAACAAAAAAATCAAACGTTAGTAATCCCACTTACACACCACTCAACTCCACAAAAAAAATATTGGCCCCTCTTTCCAAACAGTTCAAAAACAAATTGTGTCTCTTTTTTGTTTTTTTTTTTTTTAATTCTTAGTTTTAGACCCCCAACAATAACAAATTTATATATTTCAGCTTTTTATATATATTACAACTATAAGTTTTTATGTTAATATTCTGAAGTTTTGAAAAAAGAAACAAATTTTTATTATCTTTTATTTGATTTCACCACCTCCAAGACCTTTAATCTCCCACATAGTTTTTTTAAGCCTTCATACATTGTTTTCAAAATGTATAAAATAATTTTATATATTTACAAAAAAATATATATCTTATGAAAAACAAAAACCACAACAAAAACCATTTAATTCTTTATATATATCTGTAGTTATATAAACTGGATTAATAGTTGTAATGTCTAAAAGTTAAAAAATTATAATAAAAGCAAAAATAATATTAATACTAAATAATAATAAAAATAATATAATTCAAATAAATGATGTTCAACAAAATAAAAAAATAAATAAAACAAAAAAGTAAAAAAAACAAGAACTCAGTTTTTAATTTTTTCAAACCTTGGAGGCCATTGGACCCTTGAAAAAAAATTATTTATAAAACCACGCCTTGGAGGCCATTGGACCCTTGAAAAATAATTATTTAAAAATCCACGCCTTGGAGGCCATTGGACCCCTGAAAAAAATTATTTAAAAATCCACGCTTTGTTTGGGTCTTGAAAAATAATTATTTAAAAATCCACGCTTTAAGGCCATTTGGGTATGGAAAAATAATTTTTAATAATCCACCCTAAAGACCATTTGTATGTGGAAAAATAATTATTTAACAATCCACGCCTAAAGGCCATTTGGGTCTTGAAAAATAATTATTTAAAAATCAACACATTGAAGGTTATTTGGGTCTTGAAAAATAGTTATTTAAAAATGCAAACCTCGAGGTTATTTGGGTTTTGAAAAATGTTTATTTAAAAATCCACAATTTTTTATTTTAATTTTTAACATTGCAATTAAACATAACCTATAATTTAATCATTCATTGTTATTATTTTTTTTATTTATTATTATTATTTTTTTATTTATTATTATTATTTTTTTATTTATTATTATTATTTTTTATTTATTATTTTTTTATTTATTATTTTTTTATTTATTATTATTTTATTATTATTAATTTTTAATTATTATTAATTTGTATTTATTATTATTCTATTGTTTGTTGTTATTAAATGTAATTTGAAGATTTTCATCAGCCAACGATGGGTGAGGTGTCTTCAAGGGAACACTTTCGGCCACGTAACGTATTGGTTCCTTAGTCTCCTTCAACCATCTGCCAATTATTGGTGAATATAATTTGGGATCACATTTTTCATCTTCCGCCGGTTTCCAAATATAACTTAAAGGTATGGCTGTAAACCACACCAAGAGGGTACCAATTACCTGATACCAATAGAAAGAGATTTCATATAGAGAAAATGGGCGATTGCTGCCGAAGGCGGTGGTGACTAGGTTAGGAGTCTCTGTCGACGTTGTTGTAACATTTATGGGCACGGATAGTTGGGGAGTTGTCATGGTTCGGTTGGTGGTGTTTTGTATTAAACTATAGAAGTTGTAATTCTCACATTCATCGATTTTTGTTGGCAGTGGATCGTATTTGATGGCACCCGAATTGAAACGCATCTGGGCATTGGTAATAATCCAGAGCATTATGGTCATGCTGACACATAGGGAGGTGATGACGACCTGGAAAAGGGACATTAAAAGAATTATTTTTTATATACAAAGGTAGGTATATAGACCTATAGAGGACTTATAGGCCCTCTAGAGACTATAGAAGACATATAGGTCCTTTAGGGGCTACAGAAGACGTATAGGCTCTCTAGAGACTATAGGAGAACTATAGGTCCTCTAGAGACTATAAAAGACCTATAGGTCCTCCAGAGACTATAGAAGACCTATAGGTCCTCTAGAGAATATAGAAGACTTATAGGTCCTCTATAGACTGGAGTAGACGTATTGAACCTTTGAACCCTTGAAAAATATTCATTTAAAAATCCATCCCTAGGGGGCTATTGGACCTTTGAAAATATTTATTTAAAAGCCACGGCTAGGAGGCTTTTTGGATCTTGAAAAATAATAATTTTAAAATCCACGGTTAGGAGGTTATTTGGGTCTTGAAAAATAATTAATTAAAAATCCCCGCCCAGGAGGCTATTTGGGTCTTGAAAAATAATTAATTAAAAATCCCCGTCCAGGAGGCTATTGGACCCTTGAAAAATACTAATTAAAAAATCCACGCCCAGGAGGCTATTAGACCCTTGAAAAATACTAATTTAAAAATCCACGCCCAAAAGGCTATTAGACCCTTGAAAAATATTTATTCAAAAATCCACGCCTGGAGATCATTTGGGCCTTAAAAAAATATTTTTTTTAAAAACCCACGTTTTGGAGGTTTTCTGGAATTTGAAAAATATTTATTTAAAAATCCACGTCTGGAGATCATTTGGGTCTTGAATATTATTAAGTCTATGAAGATCTATTTATAAGTCTATGGAGATCTATTTATAAGTCTATGGAGATCTATTTATAAGTCTATGGAGATCTTTTGGACTTTGAATAATAAAAAAGTAAAAAAAAAAACTGCAGCCTAGGGGGTCCTTGAAGCCAAGGCATTCTCTATACGAAAGCAAAAATCTTCCAACTTACCTTTCCATTAACCCTTGGCACCAGCATGCCCAACATAAACACACCCACAACAGCTCCAGTGTTCAACGAAAATATCGTCAATATCGTTTGAAGAATTGAACTGAATTTCTCGACCAAAAATCCACCGGCAATACAATAACAACCCATAACGACAACAAATAGCTTCATAATAGCATTGGCCCGAGCATCAGTGTGCTTAATAAACGGTTTGATGTAATCGAAGTAGGCAACACCGGCCAAGGAGTTAAGCGTTGCCGACATGGTACTCAAGGCCGCACTGAAGACACACGAAATGAAAATACCCGGCATTCCGCTTAAATGTCCCACAACATCCTGCACAAAGAATGGCATCATTTTGTCGGCTTTTTCAACCACACCAGCCAGAATGGGATCACAGCCGGCATAACGGGCATACATAATGACACCTGTGAAGCAATTGGACAACATTATGGCAAGGACACCACATCCCGTCCATACTAGAGATCTAGGCAAGAAATGAAAAGAGGTAAGCAAGCAGTATTTTTGAGAACCAAGCATTTCAAAATTTTAATTTCCAACTTACTTTTTGGCATGCTTCAGGCTGGGTAGCGAAACAATACGCTGTACACAGCTTTGATTTAAACCGAGATGTCCAACCCACAAAAATAGACCAGCACTGAACATACCCACCACAGAGTTCCGAATGCGCGGATCCAAACCGTAGCTGTAAGTAGGATAAAATTTAAAATTTGGTTTCTATCATCCAAATAACAAATTCATTTTCCTTTCTTACTATAGATCCAAGCGTTTACCATCAGCGGCAAGATCGAGAACTTTTCCCAGACCACCAACTTTATTGATACCCAATATGGCAACCAATAAAACCGAGGTTACCATAATGCCAGCCTGCACCACATCGGTCCAGACAACAGCCTTAATACCACCCTGGATGTGGATGTTAAAAAGGGATTAGAAATATAATTCAAAGAGAGGGGGAAGAGAGAGAGAGAGAGGAAAAGAGAAAGAACAAGGGAGGTTGACTTACCAACATTGTGTAGAATATGCAGATGGAACACACTATGGTGTTGATAATATGAATATTAATGCCGGTCACTGGAAAATAGAAGGGAACATGAATTATTTGTGGATATATCGAACAAATATTCTTTAAAAAATCCACGTCTTGTAGGTCCTTGAATAAATAGTCTTTAAAAAATCCACGTCTTGTAGGTCCTTGAATAAATAGTCTTTAAAAAATCCACGTCTTGTAGGTCCTTGAATAAATAGTCTTTAAAAAATCCACGTCTTGTAGGTCCTTGAATAAATAGTCTTTAAAAAATCCACGTCTTATAGATCCTTGAATAAATAGTCTTTAAAAAATCCACGCTTTATTGGTCCTTGAAAAAATATTTTTCAAAAAATCCACGTCTTATAAAGTTTTTGAAAAAATTTTAAGAATCCGCGTCTTAAGCAGTCCTTGAAAAAATATTTTTAAAAAATCCCTGTCTTATAAGTCCTTGGAAATATATATATATATATTTTTTTTTTTTTAAATTTAAAGCCTAGGGATTTGTCTCTTAAAAAATCAATACTTTTATGGTATTACTTTCAATTTACCTTGGGCAAAGGCCAATGATGGCACGAACATAATCACAGGTAGCATCAGGCAGGTACTTAAAACAAAAGTTCCGGTAATAAGTTTTCTGGTTAATTTATTGAAACGCAATTGAAGATACTGAAAATAAAGGGGAACAAAAGAAAGGAACATTTAATTAAAATAATACCAGAATTCTTTCCAGAACCCAAAAAGACCAGCAAATATCTTGTATTATGGAAAATAGAAGATCAAGGTCTTGCAAAGCTATTAAAACATTATCTTTAGATCTTTAAAAAAAGTAATACCCCGACCTTCTTTAGAAGATGAATTGTTATTATTTATGTATGTGTGTTGTTATGAAGATTTGTTTATGAGATTAGTGATCTCACGATCAGATAACATGACACCTGTCTTTGGCCGTACTTACCTCATAACAATTTGTGATGTTGTTGTTGTAGAATACCGGTATAATAATATAATTTAAAATCGGTATAACCATGCAAACGGCCGAGACCATAAACATATAACCAATGCCAAAGGAATAGTTTTCCGAGGGTACCGACATAATGGCTATGCCAGACAGTTGACTGAAAGTTTACAAAAAATGTTTTATTGTTATAAAAAAATAAAAAAAAAATTATCTAAATTTTAATTCATAGCGTAAGAAAATAATAAAAGAGAATATGGGGTGATCACGATTAAATTTCGATGGCCTAGCAACCGTTTGTTGAAGCGGCATTTTTTTAAGAAAATTGTTTTAGGACAAACAGGCGAGGGTTTTAAAAAAAATATTCTTTTAAAGTTTTCAAGCTTTATATAGTCCTTGAAAAAATATTCTTTTAATGAATCCAAGCTTTGAACAAATATTCCTTGAACAAATATTCTTTTAAAGAATCCAAGCTTTATATAGTCCTTAAAATTTTTTTCTTTAAAAAGTCCACGCCTTTTATAGTCCATGAAAAAATATTCTTTAAAAAATCCACGCTATATATAGTCCTTGACCTTATATAGACCAGGAAAAAATATTCTTTAAAAAACCCACGCCTTATACAGTCCTTGAAAAAATATTCTTTAAAAAACCCACGCATTATACAGTCCTTGAAAAAATATTCTTTAAAAAACCTACGCCTTATACAGTCCTTGAAAAAATATTCTTTAAAAAACCCACGCCTTATACAGTCCTTGAAAAAATATTCTTTAAAAAACCCACGCCTTATAGAGTCCTTGAAAAAAATATTCTTTAAAAAATCCACGCCTATTGGTCTTTGAAACTCGTTTTCCTTACCTTGCCACCAACGATATGGCTATGGGTAGGGTTTTCATTTTCTTGCCGCCCATTAGATATTCTTCGGTGGTATTTTTCGATTTCGAAAAGAACCCAAAATAGGCCCCAATACCGGCCGATACCATTAACATGAATGAAAACACAATATAATCCGCTGTGCCAAAGGAAAACATTTTGGCTGCATTTTCCGCAAGGGTGGGCTCGGTGGCAGCAAGGACGCTGGCTGTTGGTTTCATTGCCAGGATATGTTCGTTTTTCCTTCGAAGGGGTAGAAACTATTTCAAATTACTATCCAAAACCTTAAAACGCTCCTTTCGTGTCGAACTTGTCTGCTGGCCTCAACATCAAGATGAACTCTGATGGTGTGAATCGTTAGTTTGGCGACATTTAATATTAGTAGTTGTCATTAATTCTTATCAGATGCTACCTCAACAACAGATTTACTGATTTTAGAATTTTTGTTGCTGTTTACGCTGATTCATTAGCAGATTTACTAATTTTTTGTAGTTGTTTTTTTTAGAGGGTACTTTAGATTGTTGCCATTTACGTTGCCTCATTGGCTGTACGGTAGTTGCCATAAATATTTATATATCCAGATATCTTTATGCCCGACATAAAATATCGGTGATATGAAATGGGGATTATAAAATAGCACATGCGCTTTTTTCCAGTTGCCACAGGTTTTGAGATTGAGATTTTTATCTGATCTCTCTCTGTCTCCGATCACTTGGGGAATGATGAAATACTTGATAAAAATTACAGTTTAAGGTCGGAGCAAAAATACCCCATATAGAAGACGAAATTAACACACAAAGTTTACATCAGACACTTTCATAATATTTTTTGAGGCGTGGGTTTTTTCAAGTACCCCAAAATAGGCGTGGATTTTTTAAAGAATATTTTTTCAAGTACCCCAAAATAGGCGTGGATTTTTTAAAGAATATTTTTTCAAGTACCCCAAAATAGGCGTGGATTTTTTAAAGAATATTTTTTCAAGTACCCCAAAATAGGCGTGGATTTTTTAAAGAATATTTTTTCAAGTACCCCAAAATAGGCGTGGATTTTTTAAAGAATATTTTTTCAAGTACCCCAAAATAGGCGTGGATTTTTTAAAGAATATTTTTTCAAGTACCCCAAAATAGGCGTGGATTTTTTAAAGAATATTTTTTCAAGTACCCCAAAATAGGCGTGGATTTTTTAAAGAATATTTTTTCAAGTACCCCAAAATAGGCGTGGATTTTTTAAAGAATATTTTTTCAAGTACCCCAAAATAGGCGTGGATTTTTTAAAGAATATTTTTTCAAGTACCCCAAAATAGGCGTGGATTTTTTAAAGAATATTTTTTCAAGTACCCCAAAATAGGCGTGGATTTTTTAAAGAATATTTTTTCAAGTACCCCAAAATAGGCGTGGATTTTTTAAAGAATATTTTTTCAAGTACCCCAAAATAGGCGTGGATTTTTTAAAGAATATTTTTTCAAGTACCCCAAAATAGGCGTGGATTTTTTAAAGAATATTTTTTCAAGTACCCCAAAATAGGCGTGGATTTTTTAAAGAATATTTTTTCAAGTACCCCAAAATAGGCGTGGATTTTTTAAAGAATATTTTTTCAAGTACCCCAAAATAGGCGTGGATTTTTTAAAGAATATTTTTTCAAGTACCCCAAAATAGGCGTGGATTTTTTAAAGAATATTTTTTCAAGTACCCCAAAATAGGCGTGGATTTTTTAAAGAATATTTTTTCAAGTACCCCAAAATAGGCGTGGATTTTTTAAAGAATATTTTTTCAAGTACCCCAAAATAGGCGTGGATTTTTTAAAGAATATTTTTTCAAGTACCCCAAAATAGGCGTGGATTTTTTAAAGAATATTTTTTCAAGTACCCCAAAATAGGCGTGGATTTTTTAAAGAATATTTTTTCAAGTACCCCAAAATAGGCGTGGATTTTTTAAAGAATATTTTTTCAAGTACCCCAAAATAGGCGTGGATTTTTTAAAGAATATTTTTTCAAGTACCCCAAAATAGGCGTGGATTTTTTAAAGAATATTTTTTCAAGTACCCCAAAATAGGCGTGGATTTTTTAAAGAATATTTTTTCAAGTACCCCAAAATAGGCGTGGATTTTTTAAAGAATATTTTTTCAAGTACCCCAAAATAGGCGTGGATTTTTTAAAGAATATTTTTTCAAGTACCCCAAAATAGGCGTGGATTTTTTAAAGAATATTTTTTCAAGTACCCCAAAATAGGCGTGGATTTTTTAAAGAATATTTTTTCAAGTACCCCAAAATAGGCGTGGATTTTTTAAAGAATATTTTTTCAAGTACCCCAAAATAGGCGTGGATTTTTTAAAGAATATTTTTTCAAGTACCCCAAAATAGGCGTGGATTTTTTAAAGAATATTTTTTCAAGTACCCCAAAATAGGCGTGGATTTTTTAAAGAATATTTTTCAAGTTAGGCGTGGATTTTTTAAAGAATATTTTTCAGTACCCCAAAATAGGCGTGGATTTTTTAAAGAATATTTTTTCAAGTACCCCAAAATAGGCGTGGATTTTTTAAAGAATATTTTTTCAAGTACCCCAAAATAGGCGTGGATTTTTTAAAGAATATTTTTTCAAGTACCCCAAAATAGACGTGGATTTTTTAAAGAATATTTTTTCAAGTACCCCAAAATAGGCGTGGATTTTTTAAAGAATATTTTTTCAAGTACCCCAAAATAGGCGTGGAAGCTTGAGAACATAGTTTGTGAAACATCCAAATCGTCACCTGAGAATCCGTAAAAATGATCTTAGAAATTCACTCCTTTGATGATTGAAGAATATTCAATCGTATATTTTTCCGAAAATCAAAGCATACTTTAGGGGTTGTGTATTTGTTATTTAAGTGCCCACTTGGAATTGGAACTAATATTAATTAAATTATTAGTTCTAATTAATTGCACTGCACATTTTTATCGGGCTTAAATTGTTTCCGACCCAGCCGAAAACTAACAATTTTATTGAATAATTTTATCTAAACTATAATTACAATGCGATTCACATAATAGTTAATAATTGTTTTTATGCTAATGCCTAAGCAAATTATTGTTTCAAATTGCCATTAATTGGTGGATCTTCATGACCATCGGGTAACAGAATTGTGGTCGTTGCTGCGTTGCCATTTTCCGCTGGATGGGGCGCTTTCAGTGGTACACTTTCCATTTCTTTGGGTGATTTGGGTAAAAATCTCCATATAACTGGAGAATATAACTTCGGGTCATATTTTTCATCATCCTCCCGTTTCCATACATAGCTCAGGGCAACGGATGTAAAGACCAGCAAAACAAGACCCATCAATTTGTACCAATAGAAGGAAACTTCGAATATGGAAAAGGGGCGATTACTTTCAAAGGCAGTGGTGACTAAGGGCTTTTCCAAGGGTGGTGGTGGTTCGGTGACATTACTGGAAATTAAAAAAATATATTAGTTATATAGAGTTCTTATGATTTTTGTACAGAAATATATACTTACAAACTTTTAATCAATCCATGGAAACTGTAATCCTCGCATTGATCCAAAGTGGTGGGCAGCATTTCGTATTTCATTTCACCCGATTTGAAACGCATCTGGGCATTCACAATAATCCACAACATAACGGCCAAACTAACACCAATTCCGCTAAAGACACACTAAAGAAAATAGAAAAAAAATAAAATGGAACAATGTCCTCGAAGAATCCTTGTTCGTGGCCCTTACCTTTCCATTAACCCTTGGCACGAACATGCCCACCAAAAATACACCAATCACCGCACCATAACTAAGACTGGTAATGGTCACAATTGTCTGCAGAATGGAATTGAATTTTTGCACAATCAGACCTCCAAGGATGCAATAGCTGCCCATGGCCACCACAAAGATTTTCATAATGGCATTGGCCCGAGCATCAGTGTGTCGAATGAAGGGTTTAATATAATCGAAGTAGACCACGCCGGCTAGGGAATTCAAATTGGCTGACATGGTACTCAGCGCAGCGCTGAATACACAGGATATGAATACACCAGGCATACCCTTCAAATGGCCCATGATGTCCTGCACAAAGAACGGCATCATTTTGTCGGGCTTCTGAACGAGCTGGAAGTAAAAAAATTTACATAAGTTTTAGAAAAAACAAATTAAAAATATTTTTGTAAAAAAATGAAAAAAAAATATTTAAAAAAATTAAAAAAAATTGAAAAAATATTTAAAAAAAATTTTTGAAAACATATTTAAAAAAATTTTGAAAAATTATTAAAACAAATTAAAAAAAAATATTCTATAAAAAAATGTAAGCCTTGTTGGCTACTTGAAAAAAATTTCTTTAAAAAATCCAGGCCTTGGCAGCTTCAATGTGGTTTGAAAATTTCTTTAAAAAATCCACGCCTTGTTGACTACTTAAAAAAAATTCTTTAAAAAATCCATGCCTTGTTGGCTACTTGAAAAAATGATCTTTAAGAAATCCACGCTATGAAAAAAATATGCCTTAATAAATCTACGCCTTGTTGGCTACTTGAAAAAAATATTTTTTATAAAATCTACGCCTTGTTGGCTACATGAAAAAAATATTCTTTAAAAAATCTACGCCTTGTTGGCTACTTGAAAAAAAGTATTCTTTAAAAAATCTACGCCTTGTTGGCTACATGAAAAAAAATATTCTTTAAAAAATCCAAACCTTGTTGGCTACTTGAAAAAAAATTCTTTAAAAAATCCACATCTTGTTGGCTACTTGAAAAAATATTCGTTAAAAATCCACCCCATATAGTCCGTTAAAAATTTTTTTTGGTAAAAAATACACCTTAAAAATTATTTGAAAAAATCTCCAAGGTTAACTTACTCCAGCTTTAATGGGATCACATCCGGAATAACGGGCAAACATTACAATACCACTAAAGGCATTGAAACCCATTATGATAATCACACCGACACCCGTAAGGATCAAGGCTCTATATATAGAGAAAATTTGAGTATTAATAATGGCTCCATATTATGGATAAAGGCCCCTCATCTGTCATACCTTCGTGCATTTTCCATACTGGGCAGTGAGACAATTCGCTGAACACAACTTTGATTTAGACCAATATGACCCGTCCACAACAATATGCCGCCGGTGAAAAGTGAAATGACCGAATTTCGAACCCTTGGATCTAGACCATAACTGAAAATAGATTTTTTTTTATGAAATTTACCGCATACCAAAATAGGCCAATGCCAGATTTCTTACTAGAAATCCAAACGTCCACCTTCTTCGGCTAATTCGAAAACTTTACCCAGACCTCCAACTTTGATGGTACCCAGAATGCCCACCAAAACCACTGAGGTAACCATAATACCAGCTTGGACCACATCAGTCCAGACAACGGCTTTGATGCCACCCTAAAAATAAAACACACAAAAAGTAAATTTAAAAATAATATAAAATAGGTTAAGGGTCTTGAGATCCTACTCACCAACATTGTATAGAAAATACATATGGAACACACAATAGCATTAATCAGATGAATATTTATGCCCGTCACTGTAAATGAAAATAAATTTTAATCCAATTTTTTATTTTAATAAAAAAATCCGCTTTATTTTGAATTTAAAATTTATTTCCATTTTACCTTGCGAAAAGGCCAAGGCAGGTACAAAAATATACACGGGTAGCATCAAAAAGGCATTGAAAACAAAGGAGGCGGTAATTAATTTTCGGGTTCGCTTGTCAAAACGCATTTGAAGATACTGCAAAGAGAAATGAAGGTTTAGAGGGCTCGGGATATTTATAGAAATAGTTGAAATCCTCACCTCATAACAATTGGAAATATTGTTCTTATAGAATACAGGTATAATGATATAATTCAACGTGGGCACCACCAAAATCATCGCAACCACCATAAAGAAATATGAAAATCCAAAGGTATAGGTCTCGGCGGGTACTGACATGATGGCAATGCCGGAAAGTTGACTGAAATTCAAAATAAAAATGTAATAATTAAATTAAAATATTAGGAAATATGTCTAGATCTTCAATAGATAGATATGGTAAATGATAGACAATATTGTTACTAATACTCTAAGAAACATTTTTGTCTTTGGGGACCGAGTTTTTGAAAAATGTATTATTAATTATAAAATTTATTTACTTTTCAGAAGTGGTAATTTCTTCTGAAATACTAAGTTTGTGTATAAAGATACCAATGGAAAAAATGTTCTACATCAAATTTCACAATGGGTCACTGAACAACAGAAATCGGTAGATATAATACATAACCTTAAGAAGTAGGTTCGAATATTGATATGTTAACCAAAAAATGTTATGTATATTTGTTTTGATTAGCTATATTTGATACTAATTAACGCCCTCTACATTTCATTTTAGGATGTTGGTGTTAATGGAAAAATATTCTACACCAAAATTCATTATAGGTGACTGAACAACATATACCGGTAGATATAATACATAACCTTAAAAGGTAAGTTAGAATATTGATATGTAAAGGAAAATATGTTGAACGGTTTTTTGGTTACTTTCATTTGATATCATATAACGCCCTCTATATTTCATTTTAGGAGGTAAGTGACAATTGAAAAAAATTCTACACCAAAATTCACTATGGGTGACTGAACAACAGATACCGGTAGATACAATACATAACCTTAAAAAGAAAGTTGGAATATCGATGCGTAAACGAAATTATATTAATAGATTTTTTTACGTTAATTTCTTTTAATATCACATAACGACCTCTACTTTTCATTTTAGGAAATTGATGTTAATGGAAAAAATATTCTACACCAAAATTCACTATGGGTGACTGAACAACAGATACCGGTAAATATAATACATAACCTCAAAAATTAAGTTAGAATATTGATATGTAAATTAATATATATTAATATATTTTATTAGGTTAATTTAATTTAATACCACAAAACATCCTCTACATTTCATTTTAGGAGGTTGGTGTCAATGGAAAAAATATTCTACACCAAAATACACTATAGGCCACTGAACAACAGATATCGGTAGATATAATACATAACCATAAAAAGTAAGTTGGTATATTGATATGTAATCGAAAATATATATAAATAGCTTTTCTTGAGTTCATGTTGATTTTATGCCACTTTACGCCATCTATACATCATTTTAGGCGGATGGTATTAATGAAAAAATATTCTACACCAAATTAGGTGGTTGGTGTCAATGGAAAAACTATTCTTCATCGAATTTTAGTATAGGTCTCAGACCATAGGAATTCTTTACCTATTCCATATGTACTTCAAAAATCCCTTACAAATATACTACACAATCAATAATATTATTAATTGATTTTTCCTCTGGTAATTTCCTTTCATAACAAATTGTTCCATCTGTACTTCATTTTATGGTCATCTTGTCAATGGAAAAAATATTCTCCATAGAATTTCAATATAGGTTATTGACCAAAAGAAACCTGTACTTCAAAAAATGGCTTAAAATTATACTCTATAAACAAGAAAAATTGAATAGTTTTTTTAATGAGTTAATGAATTTCATATCAAATTACGACCTCTATAGTTCTTTTTAGAAAGTCGATGTCAATGGAAAAATTATTCTTCGTCGAATTTCACTATTGGTCATCGACTATGCGAAGTATATAGGTATAATATATATTCATCAAAAGTCGTTTACAATTTGTCGGAATAATGTAAAAAGTAATGTAATTATTATTTTAGATTACTTTAGTTTAATGTCCAATTGCGACCTCTATATTTCATTTTTGAGAGTTTATGCTAATGAGTAAAATGTTCTCCATAGAATTTAAATATAGGTCACTGACCCAATCAAATTGTATATATTATGAAAATCGGTTACAAATTGTCTATATAAACAGAATAATAATAATCGATTTTTTTTTGGTTTAAATTAGATTGTTGTCAATTTAAGTCATCTATACTTCATTTTAGAGAGTTCATGATAATGGGGAAAATATTCACCAGACAATTTCACTAGAGGTCACTGACCACATCATGTCTGTAGACATATTATATATACATCAAATATCGGTTACAAATTGACTATATAAACAACAAATATTATTTTATTTTTTCATGGTTAAATTTCATTTGTTGTCAAATTGCGCCATCTATACTTCACTTTAGAGAGTTGATGGTAATGAGAAAAAAGGTCCCCACAAATTTCACTGTAGGTCACTGACCACATCATGTCTCTAGATACAAATTGCCTATATTAACAAAAAAATATAAAATAAATGTTTTCTTAGATTAATGTAACTTCATGACACATTACGCCATCTATACATCATTTTGGAGAGTTGATGCAAATGAGAAAAATATTCTCCATAGAATTTCACCATATGTCTATGACTAAAAAAAATTGTAGATATAATTGAAATGCTTCAAAAGCCGTTTACAAATTGACTATATAAACAAAAAATATAAAATAATTTTTTCATGTGTTTTTTTACTTCAAGGCAAATTGCGCCATCTCTACTTCATTGTAGAGCGTTGATGGCAATGAGTAAAATGTCCGCCATAAAAATTCACTAAAGGCCATTGACCAAATGAAATTTGCAGGTATAATTGAAATGATTTAAAACCCGGTTACAAATTGTTACGAATAAAAAATATAAAATATATTTTTTCGTGTGTTATTTAGATTCATGCAAATTAGGCCATATATTCTTCATTTTAGGGCGTTGATGGCAATGAGTAAAATGTTCTCCATAGAATTTCACTATAGGTCACCGACCAAATCAAATTTGTAAATGCAATTAAAATGCTTCAAAAATCGTTTATAAATTGTCTATATAAACAATAAAATATTTATCGATTTTTCTGGGGTTAATTTCGTTTGTTGCCAAATTGCGACATCTATACTTCATTTCACAAGATTGATGTTAATGAGAAAAATATTCTCTATAGAATTTCACGATAGGTCACCGACCAATAAAAATGTGTAGATATAATGGATATCAACGAAAATATCGTTTAAAATATCATATCAAAACAAAAAATGCTTCTTTACATTTTCGTTGCTAATTTCATACATTGCATGAGTGCGCCATCTATACTTCATTTTAGAGGAACGATATCAAAGGGAAATTTATTCTATATTAAATTTCACAATAGGTCACTGAACAAATGAAATATGTATATGTGCTATATATCATCAAAAATTAGTTTAAAGTTGTCATTTTTCTATTCGTTTTTTTGCTATTAATATTAAGTGCGATCAATTTTTTGGGAGAATACTTCGTTTTAGATGCATGACCCCAAGGAGCAATATATTCTACATCAAATTTCACTGTTTCACTCTTGAGAAATGGAGACTGTATATATGTTATATATCATCAAAAACGGCACTTTCAAATCGGGTATAATAATAAGAAAAAAAAACTATTTTTAATTTTGATTTTTTCGTTTTTTTGGCCCAAAAGACCCCTAAAATGACGAGTTAGAGGGTTATTGTGTTCCACAAAAATATTCCTTGTAATGTTGAGATTACATTTGCTCTTTATAGCCTTAAGCAAAAATGTGTGTATATAGAGATAAATGAGAATTATGCTGATGCGCAAATCAATGTCATTCGAATCCTTTCGGAAATATGAAAATCGATCGAATCGAATTTATGTTTTCTTAATTAAATTTAAAATTCGAAATTATGTGATTATTGGATCCATTACATATCACTTCTTACCTTGCCACCAATGATATGGCAATCGGTATGGTCTTCATTTGCTTACTGCCCATTAAATATTCATCGGTTGTATTTTTCGATTTCGAAAAGAATCCAAAATAGACACCAATACCGGCAGATGTCAACAGCATTATAACGAACACGATATAATCGGTGACACCAAAGGTGAAACTTTTTGCAGCCTCAGCGGCAGCGGAATTTTCAATTAAAGTCATGGCTGAGATATATAATTGAATTCAAATATTTAACGTATTCTTAAGATTCTTTCAACACCTTATTCAAATTCGAATAGTTCACATTTCTTTAGTTCGAATTAATAATAGTTCACTTCGCGACCGTCTGGACTTTACAAAGGTCCACAATTAAATGTGACTTTCCACGGCGTAGAACAGTAGTTCGATGGAGGAGTGCTGCTCAAGTCAAAGATAATGATGAAATGCTATTTCCGACACCTAAAATCTTATCGGCAAAAATGGTCCATGTATGTCTTCACTTCTTCTGAGAGGAGACAGCAATAACATGAAGGAGGTAACCGAGGTGCTGCTGGCGTCATATTAAATCGTAGAGATTTTTCCAACACTTTTTATGATTGTCTATATTTAATAAAAAATAAAATTACACCCGCTTATCTCTGTCGGATCCTGACATTTTAATTGCATGTTAAAGACATTCACTGGTTATTTTTCACGCACAGTCGACAGCTTTTTTTCAATTCAAAGAAAACGGTTTTCATTATCTGAAATTTTAAATTAAATAAAAAATTGTAGCGGATTTGAGAATAGTTTTTTTTTTTTTTCATAAAAATTAAAAAAATGTTTTTTGTTAAATAAATTTTAAACTGAGTTAAATCCAAATAAGACCGGATTGTTCTGAAACAAACTCAACTCTTATTTGGTCCGCGAAGTTAGCTCTAAATATCGCAGTCTTTTGGTCTGGGCCAAGAGCGAACAAATTTCCAGCTCATAATTCCCTGGTTTTAAAGGCAAAGAAAAAAGCAAAAACAAAGACAAAAATGTTCTCCATCAAATTTGACCCCAAGGAAATTCGTAGAAAATCGTTGACAATTTTATTTCAATTGTGATGTATAAGAAAAACGAATTTTTTGAGTAATTTCCGTTTGACACCAAACGCTCCTACATTTCGTTATACAGTAGATATCGGATATAAGAAACTCAAAAAAAGCCGGAGATTTCTTTCTTATATGCGTTTTTTCTTATATGGAATTATCGGATATAAGAAAGTATAAGCTCGGTGTTTTTGATAATCCTTCTTATATGCGATTTTTTTTTTATATGAGATGTGCTTATATCCGATATCTACTGTAGGAGTTTTGAGTCAAGAGAAAAAATATTCTTTATAAAATTTGACTATAGGTCGCTGACCAAAGGAACTATATATGTATACTAATTATCGTTCAAAAATCGGTTTCCATGTGGCTGGAAACAGAAAAAGTTGATATTCTGTTCTCAATTTTATTTGAAATCTAACTGCTCCCTCTAGACTTCATTGTAGGAAGTTAAGGTCAATGGAAAAAATACTCTTACTACTAAATACTTTTTGTTACATCGAATTACGCCCCTACATTTCATTATGGGAGGTTGGTACCAATGGAAAAATTGTTCTCCATTAAATTCCACTACGGATCATCGAAATGTGTATGTATAATATATATCTTGCAAAATCCGGTTACAATTTGGATATATATGCAAACATTTATAAATTAATTTGTCTTGGATATACTCAATTTGATAAGTAAATTGCGCCATCTACATTTCATTATATGAGGTTGGTGCCAATGGGAAAAATATTCCCCACAAAATTTCACTATACGCCACCGACAAAAAGCAATCTGTAGGTATCATATATATCGTTTAAAAATCGTTTATAATGTGACTGAATGAAAGGAAAAATATTATTTGATTTTCTGTTCTTATTTCTATTTCAGATCAAATTCCGCCCTCTATATTTCAATGTATGAAGTTGCTTCCAATGGAAAAAATATTCTTCATGAAATTTTATTATAGGTCACTGACAAAAACAAAGTTGTAGTTTATCATTGGTTGGTGCCAAAGAGAAAAATATTTCCCCTAAAACTTCACTATAGGTCACCGATAAAAATAAATCGGTAGGAAAAATATTAATCATTCAAAAATCGGTTACAATGTGGCCGTTAAAACAGAAAACGTTAATTTATTTTCTGAGGCTAATCTTATTAATTGCGCCCCCTATACTTCAATGTTGGGTGTTGATGCCAATGGAAAAAATATTATCCATCAAATTTCACTATATATCTCGGGCTATATTAAATCTATAGGTATAATATATACCGTTCAAAAATCGTTCAAAAAAGTGGGTTTTAAACGGAAAACGTAATAATTTAATTTCTCGGTTTAATTTTACTTTATGCCAATTGCGCCTTCTTTATTTTAATGTAGAGTATTGATGCCAATGGAAAAATAATTCTCCATCGATTTTCACTATAGGTTACGGACAAAATAAAATATAATAATATATATCGTTCAAAAATCGATTACATTGTGGTTTTATACACAGAAAAATATTAATGAAATTTTCTTGCTTAGATTTCATTATATGTCAAATTTTGACCCCTATATTTCATTGTAAGAAGTTGGTACCAATGGAAAAAATATTCTCCATTAAATTTCACTATCGGTCACAGACAAACAGAAATCTATAGGTCTATTATATGACATTCAAAAATGGGTTACAATACGAACGCATAAAAACAAAACATATCCATTGATTTTGTGTATTTAATTTCATTTGATACTAATTTGCGCCATCTATACTTCAGTGTATGAAGTTGATACCAATAGAAAAAATATTCTGCATCAAATTTTACTATAGGTCACAGACCAAATGAAATCTGTAGGTCTAATATATGCCATTCAAAAATCGATTATAATATGGTCATTTCAACAGATCACAATTTAATTAATTTTCTGACGTTTATGTTATTTGATGCCATATTGCGCCCTCTATACTTCAGTGTATGAAGTTGATACCAATAGAAAAAATATTCTGCATAAAATTTTACTATAGGTCACAGACCAAATGAAATCTGTAGGTCTAATATATGTCATTCAAAAATCGATTATAATATGGTCGTTTCAACAGGAGATTTATTTAATTAATTTTCTGACGTTAATGTTATTTGATGCCATATTGCGCTCTCTATCCTTCAGTGTATGAAGTTGGTATCAAAGGAAAAAATATTCTGCATAAAATTTCACTATAGGTCACAGACAAAATTAATTCTGTATGTCCAATATATGTCATTCAAAAATCGGTAACAATGTGACTGCATAACATCGTAATTATGTTTTTTTTAGGTTATACTCATTAGATGCCCAGTTGCACCCTCTATACTTCATTGTTGGAAGTTGTGATCAAAGGTAAAAATACTCTCCATCAAATTTCACTATGGGTCTCAAACCGAATGAAATCAGTATATGTATTATATATACTTTAAAAATCGTTAATAAATTGTATGCTTAAAGAAGAAAATATAAATGGATTTTAGTTGTGAAATCATCAATAAATGACAAATTGCGCCACCTACTCTTCATTATAGGAGATTGGTGACAATAAAAAAATATTCTCTATCAAATTTGGCTATAGGTCATGGTGAAAATTTAATATGCACCTATAATGTATATCGTTCAAAAATCGGCAACAATTTGATAACATAAAAGGTTAAGTTCTCAATTAATTTTCTTAGGTAATACTCTTATGCCCAGTTGCGCCCTCTATACTTCATTGTAGAAAGTTGTGATAAAAGGAAAAAATATTCTCCATAAAATTTCACTATGGGCCTCAAACCGAAAGATATCAGTATATATATCATATATACTTTAAAAATCGTTAATAAATTGTATGCTTAAAGAAGAAAATATGAATGGTTTTTTCTTAAGAAAATGTTACAAGATGCCAAATTGCGCCCTCTACCCTTCATTATAGGAGGTTGGTGACAATGGAAAAAATATTCTCCATCAAATTTGGCTATAGGTCATGGTGAAAATTTAATATGCACCTATAATGTATATCGTTCAAAAATCGGCAACAATTTGATTCCCTAAAAGGTTAACTTCTCAATTAATTTTCTTAGGTAATAATTTTATGCCCAGTTGCGCCCTCTATACTTCATTGTAGGAAGTTGTGATCAAAGGAAAACATATTCTCCATAAAATATGGGCTTCACTATGGGCTTCAAACCGAAAGATATCAGTATATGTATCATATATACTTTAAAAATCGTTAATAAATTGTATGCTTAAAGAAGAAAATATGAATGGGTTTTTCTTAAGAAAATTTTACAAGATGCCAAATAGGAGGTTGGTGACAATGGAAAAAATATTCCCCATCAAATTTCACTACAGGACACCGACAAAAATGAGAATGTAGGTATAATATATATCCCTCAAAAATTCCTCACCATGTGACTGCATAAAAAACAAAAATAGTAGATTTTGTGCGGTTAATTTCATTTCGTTTCAAATTGCGCCATCTATATTTCGATTAACCTTTACGATAATTAGATATACTATTAGATGATGTTTTTTCAATATTAAGAGGTCACCTCGGAAGAACTATGGAAATACCATGCATTCCTGGCCATAAAGACCACAAAGTGGGAAATCATTGATATGAAGCATTTATAACCTATCAAAGTTGTAGGGTATCATATGAACGACCCAGCCTTACTTTTTCATCAGCGAAAAACAGTATTATTCAAGAAATATATAATCTGCCTGAAATATGATCTACTAGGATTTACATTTATGGCCGTGAATTGCTATATTTGTGTACTTCATTATTTTTTCTGAACTTTTTTTCATATTTATCTCAATGCCAGCGACAAGGTGCTGGCAGGTTCACAAACTTTCTAATCCTTTATTAAATAAGAACTCGAATTATTTACATACTCACACACCCATAGGGCATGCATACACATATAAATAATAGCCATAAAAATGTTTAAGTCGATAAAGAGTTCATAGCCCATTTGTCGTTCACACATCAGAATTGAGATGCTGTTATAGTTACGAAAATGTTCCATCAGAGATGAGACAGAGAGTGTGGGTATGTATGTATGTTCGTTTCATATTAAAAAATTACGCTTGATTAAAATTTAATTGGTAAAAAAAAAATTATACATGTGTAATCCTATTTTTATTTTTAGAAGGATGAGTCAGGAAAAAAGCCCGACCTGATCAGTAATCTTTAATTTTTCTCATTTACTGTTATAATTTGTCAGAAATTGTGTTTTAATATTTATTAAAGTATTGTTGATTTCAATTTAATTTAAATTCAGCAAAGCTGAATCAAGAACGAAGAGAATTGAATTTATGTGAAATGATTGATTAATTATAAAATATTCAATTCAGCTACATAAAATTGAAAATTTTCAAGAAAAATTATTATTTACTCAGATCATAGCGAAAAATATTATCAAAGAAAGTAATTCAGCTAAGCTGAATTGGATTTTTCTTTCATTTGACTTTGCTGCATAACTATTTTCAAATAGAAAATGCAATTCAGCTATGAAGAATTACGAGAATTTTTAATTCAGCTGGTTAAAATCAAAGATTAATTATAAAATATCCAATTCAGCCACCAAAAATGGATATTTTATAATTAATCTTTGATTTTAACTCAGCTACCAAAAATTTCCACAGCAAATTTGCATTTTTCTTCGTTTTCTGCCTATTCAGCTGAGCTGAATTTAATTTTTTCTTCAATTCAGTTATATTATTGTTATAAATTTTACAATAAGTTTCGTTTTTCATCTATTTTTATCAATTCAGCTGCATTTATGAATTTTTAGCGTCGTTGAATTTCGTTTTTTCTCCAATTCAGCTGTGCAAAATTTTAATTTCTATGGAATATTGGCATTTTTCTTCATTTTTGTCTGTTCAGCTGAGCTGAATGTGATTTTTTCTTCAATTCAGCTGAGGAAAATTTTTATTTCTATAGTATATTAGCAATTTTTATTTTTTTTAATTCAGCTGAGCTGAATTTGATTTTTCCTTCAATTCAGCTATGTTATTGTTAAAAAAATTTACACTAAGTTTCGTTTTTCTTCTATTCAGCTGTGAAAAACGCCTATATCTATAGAATTTTTCATCATTTTTGCCAATTCAACTGTCCTGAATATATACTATTGTTGCATTTTTGAATTTTTAGCTTCGGTGAATTTCATTCAGCTGTGCGAAATTTCATTTCTAGGGAATATTGGTATTTTTCTCCTTTTTGTCTATTCAGCTGAGCTGAATGTGAATTTTTCTTCAATTCAGCTATGTTTTTGTTTTACGTTTTGTGCTGAATTTCGCTTTCGTTCTATTCAGCTGTGAAGTACCCCATTTTTCTGTAGTATATTTGCAGTTTTCATCACTTTTTGTGCTGAGTTTGAATTTTTCTTCAATTCAGCTATGTTATTGTTAATAATTTTGCACTAAGTTTCGATTTTCTTCTATTCAGCTGTGTAGAATGCCTATTTCTATAGTATATTTGCATTTTTCTTCGCTTTTTTGTCAATTCAGCTGTGCTGAATTTGAATTTTTCTTCAATTCAGCTATGTTATTGTTAAGAATTTTGCACTAAGTTTCGATTTTCTTCTATTCAGCTGTGTAGAATGCCTATTTTTATAGTATATTTGCATTTTTTCCACTTTTTTGTCAATTCAGCTGTGCTGAATTGGATTTTTTCTTCAATTTAACCAGGTTTTTGTAACGAAATTTTAAATTTAGAGGGTTAAATCCTGTTTTATATTACCGTTACTTTATCAATCAAATTTTTTGTCGGAAATCCTTTAATGCCTTAATGAAAAAAATTCTCGCGAAATTTCTCACTTAAATGTACGAAAAATTTCCCCCACCCTCCCCAATAAATATTTAAATAAATATTAAAATAGATAAACGTTTTTTTTTACTTCTTTAGGGACCTGTGAACAACCTTGATCTTTGTTGACTGATATCTGACAGATATCACCCGTGATTTATGATCCAAGAAAATTTTCCCTCCCTAACATAATTTTTATTAGGTTAAGGTGCAATAAAATCAGAACGCCCCGTTTCGTTTAGTTCTACATTGTATTTATTGTTGTTGTCATTGTTTTAAAATTAACACACATTTTCATCCGTGCACACACACATACATAAAGAGATGGGGACGACCGAAATGTACATAGTACATACAGACATATAAATAAAAGTTAAATATATAAATAGTACAAATAAACAGACGATGATGTGCTATTATTACGATTACAGTTATTTTGTGTGTGCTATAATTACTATTATTATTATATAATAGGAAACATTCGTTATCTATGTTTATTGTTATTAAGTTTGTTGTTCGTGGATTGCTTTTGAGGTTATCTATTTTTCGATTTATGATTTCGTTTTTGTTGTGATAACTTCCAACACCTCCTCGGTGTTGGCCATTTCGTATTTGGCAAACGGCTGAATGATTGGCGACAATAATTTCACATCGAATTTGGCACCCTTCTCCGGCTCCAAAATATAGCTGAGAGGTATGCCGACCGCGAACACAACAATGGCGCCCAACGTCACATACCAGTTGAAGGATAAATCGAGTATATTGAAACCTTTCTCGGGGTCGATGCTATCGAATGTTTGTTGATAGGTTGACATGTTGGAGCTGAAAGATAGGGAGAATATGGCAACAGGTTCCAATGAACTATTTTTGAAGAGTATTTTTGTAGGTGTGGATTTATTTTTTTAAAGGTCTTCAATTTTTTTTTTAATAATTTTCCGATACGTGAATTGATTAGGGTAACCAAATAATAGCCATTTCCTACATACCTGGTCATATTAAGAGCAGGACATGCCTCCACCGAGCTTGGTAGTGTTGCATATTGGTTTCTACCCTGCGAGGCACCGACAACATAGATCATTACCACCATACTGGCAACTACCGACCAGAAAGCAGCACGTCCATGGGCCTTTGGCACCAACATACCCAACATAAATACCCCAAAGACAGAACCGAATGTTACACCACCAATCGAATAGACAACTTGTAAAATCGATGAGAATTTTTCGACCACCGTACCGGCGACGATGCAATAGATGCCGCAGAAGAGAACGAAAGCTTTCATTGTCAAATTGGCACGACGTTCGGTGTGTTTAATGTGCGGTTTAATATAATCGAAATAGACAACACCGGCCAGTGAATTCATACCCGCCGACATGGTACTCAAAGCGGCACTGAAGACACAGGAAATAAATACGCCGGGCATACCCTTCAGATGGCCGACAACATCCTGCACAAAGAAGGGCATTAGTTTATCGGCTTTGCTAACGAAGCCGGCGGCCAAGGGATCACAGTCATGATAGCGGGCATACATCACAATGCCGGTGAAGCAATTGAAGAACATGATCATGACAAAGCCCACGCCGAATATCATTAGGGATCTGAATAGGAAATCGATTTTTAATTTTTAATAAATTTTGGCTAAGAATTTTTCGCCACTTACCTTCTGGCATGCTTCAGGGTAGGCAGGGAGACAATACGTTGTACACAACTCTGATTGAGACCGACATATGATGACCACATTACCGTGGAGGATATGAAATTATTCCAGAATGTTGAACGTGTTGTGGCATCGAATTCGAAACTTTAAGAGAAACAAGAAAAAGGTTAGGTTTGAAAAGATATTTTTTTTTTAATTGCCAATAAAAGTTGGGCAATCTCATTCCTGCAGCTCGTTTCGGTAAGCTCTAAAAGCGGTACTAGGTTATTCATATAGTTCCATAGTTCATTTCAGTTCAATCGTTCATTGCTAGGCTACAGTTTATTCGTTAAATGAACGGGAAAATCTAAATGAACGATTGCATTAAAAGGAACTAGTCGAAAGAAAGCAAATTCGAAGGGACTAGAGCAAAGGAACTAGATGAACGAAAGAAACGGACCTAGTTCCTAGTTCATTACTTTTGTGGAATAGTTTATTTGAACCCCTTTACGGTACGGAAAGACTTATCTCTTGGCTTCATACTTACTTAACATTCATCCGACCACCATCTGCTGCAATGCGGAAAACTTCTCCTATACCTCCGACTTTACTGGCACCCAAAAGTCCCACCAAAGTTACAGAGACAACCATAATGGCAGCTTGAACCACATCGGTCCAAACGACAGCTTTAATACCACCCTGTAAACAAATTAAATTGGAATTGAAGGTTATTTTCCGATATTAAAAGAATGTAGGTCATTTTTATTTATACTTACAAACATGGTATAGAAGACACAGATGGCACAGACCACACCATTGATCAAATGGATGTTTAGACCAGTAACTGGAAGGTAAAAAAATATTAATTAAAAACATTGAATATTTTGAAATGGAGCAATATAGCAGTGGATAGGTTCCAGGCTTTAAATCAGAAACATCTCTTTAAGTGATCAAAAGAAACACATGAGGGTAGGAAGATTGGAATTCCAGGCGTTTGGCGCCATCTAGACAAAATTGGCAACACTAAATAAGCAAGGACCTCAACCATAGCTCATAAAATTCATCCATGTATTGATGATAGTCTACGAAAGAGGGCAGCCCCACTCATCTGTGTTTGAACTACTGGTAAAAGGGTCTTTGCTAATTTTGTCTTGTAGTGTTCTCCGATAGATGTAATGAAACTAGTTTTAATATTCAACGCGGCATTGTTGCTAGGCCACGACAGAGGGCAGCCCCTACATCATTTGTGGTTGATGACAGAAGAACTACTGGTAAAAGCGTCTGTTCCAATTTTAGAAGTTTTCTCTTATAGATGTCACTAAACTAGTATATTGTATTAATCGCGGCGTTGTTGCTAGGCTACGACAGAGGGCATCCACCCCATCATCTGCGGTTAATGGCAGAAAAGTGTCTTTGCTAATTTTGTCTTTAAGTGTTCTCCGATAGAGGTCATCAAAGTAAAGAAGTGTTGAGCGTCATTTTAATTATTTTGATTAATTTTGTACTTTTTTTCGAATTGGTCCTAACTTCTTCAAAAATCTTTCAAATTAGGGGTGAGCCGCTAAAAGTGGAAATATTCTCCATTAAATTCTACTAAAAATTATCTAATATCAAAAATCGATAGCTCTAATAATTATCATAGCAAAATCGATAACAATATGAGCCATATAATCGAAAGTGAATTTAATGATTAATTTTGTACTTTTTCGAATTGGTACTAATTTCTCCAAAAATCTTTCACATTAGAGGTAAGACTCTAAAGGGGAAAATGTTCTCCATTAAGTTCTACTAATATCAGAAATCGATAGCTGTAATAATTTTCATAGAAAATCGATAACAATATGGGCTATATAATCGAAAATGCATTTAATGATTAATTTTGTACTTTTTTCGAATTGGTACTAATTTCTCCAAAGATCTTTCACATTAGAGGTGAGACTCTAAAGGTGGAAATTTTCTCCATTAAATTCTACTAAAAGTCATGTAACAACATAAATCGATAGCTATAGTAATTATCATAGAAAAATCGATAACAATTTAAAATATATTTTTGAAATTATTTAATTTTATTTTTTTTTCGAAACGGTCACAAATTCTTCCCAAAATTTTCACTTTTGGTAGTGGTTGCTAAGGGGAGAAATATTCTCCGTCAAAATTCATTTAATTCGCCGAACAAAAGAAATCGATATATAAAATAATTAGAATAGACAAATCGTTAGCAATTTGAGATTTATTATCGATATACTTATTTATTGGTTATTTTTGCACTATTTTCGATTTTATTCCGTTTTTACCTGAAATCTTTTACTTTAGGTGAAAGATACTGAAGAAGAAAATATTGTCCATAAAATTTTACTAAAAGTCACCGAACAAAATAAATCGATATATAAAATATTTACTATAGAAAAATCGATAACAATTTGAGGTTTGTGTAGTTTATAATCACATTTAATGGTTATTTCAAACTATTTTTGAATTGATCCCGATTTCTCCTACAAATCTTTCACTTTTGATGGAAGACAATAAATGAGGAAATATTCTCCGTCGAATTTCTCCATCGAACTAGTCACCGAATAAAAGAAATCGATAAATATAATATTTATTGGTGAAAAATCGTTAAGAAATCGAGAATTATAATTAATAAATTTATTAATGGTTACTTTCAAATTATTTTCGATTTGAACACGATTTCTCATGAATTTTTTCACTTTAGGTGAATGATATTGAATGAGGACAATATTCTCCATCGAATTCCACTATAAGTCCCCGAATAAAAGTAAAAAATCGGTAATAAATTGTAATTATTTAATTGTTCTTTTCGCACTTTTTTCTAATTGATCCCGATTTCTCCTGAAATTTTTCACTTTAGGTGATTGACACCAAAGAGAAAAATATTCTGCATAAAATTTCACTATAAGTCACCAAAAAATAGAAATCGATAAATATTTTATTTAGGGATGAAAAATCGGTAACAATTTGAGATATATAAGCGATAAATTCATTTAATGGTTATTTTCGTATTTTTTTCGAATTGACCCCAATTTTTCCTGAAATTTTTCACATTAGGTGAATAACACTAAGAAGTAAAATATTCTGCATAAAATTTTACTATTAGTAACTGAACAAAAGAAATCGATATATAAAATATTTCATATAGAAAAATCGGTAACATTGTGAGATGTATAATCGATAAACGAATGTAATGGTTATTTTCAGACTATTTTCGAATTGATGCCAATTCCTACAATTTTTTTCACTTTAGGTAAATGATACTAAAGAGACAAATATTCTGTACAAAATTTCACTATTAGTTACCGAATTAAAGAAATCGATAAATATAATAGTTAGCACTGAAAATCGGCAATAAATTGAGATATATTAACAATAAACTTTTTTAAAGGTTATTTTCGCACTTTTTTTTTGAATTGGTCCCGATTTCTCATAATTTTTTTCACTTTAGGTGAATGACACTAAAGAAGAAAATATTCTGCATCGAATTTCATTATAAGTTATTGAATAAATTTTATCGATATATAAAACATTTAATATAGAAAAATAGATATTTTGAGATATATAATCGATAAAAATTATTTTTTGCTGATTTTTGCATTTTTTTTGAATTGATCCCGATTTCTGCAAAAATCTTTCACTTTAGATAAATGGTACTAAAGAGAAAAATAATTTGCATAAAATTTCACTATTAATCGCTGAACAAAAGAAATCGATAAATATAATATTTAGCGCTGAAAAATCGTTAATAAATTGTGATATATTATCGATATAAATATTTAATGGTTATTTTCGAACTTTTTCGAATTGATGTCAATTTCTCCTACATGTTTTCATTTTAGTTGGATGACACTGAAGAAAAAAATATTCCGCATAAAAATTCAATAGAAGTTGCCGAATAAAAGAAATCGATAAATATAATATTTAGTATAGAAAAATCGATTACATTTTTAGATATATAATCGATAAAATTATGAATGAATGGTTTTTTTTTGTTTTTAAGTCGTTGGCGGTATTGAATTTTATCTGGAACCAAACTTACCCTGAGAAAATGCCAAGGCGGGAATAAAAATAAAAACCGGCATCATCAGGAACAATGTACTCATAAAGGCAATGGTTTGTATTTCACGTGTCTTGCGATTGAAACGGACTTCCAAATACTGTGAAAAGAAAATTTGGTTTTTTTCACATTAAGGACACAATTTGAATTATTCTATTTTTATTTATTTTTTGATATATTTTTAATTTTTATTGCCTTTATCCTCACCTCATAACAATTGGATATATTATTATTGTAGAACACCGGAATGACAACCCATATTAAAATCGGTATAATCACCACCATTGAGACCACATTGAAAAACCAATTAATACCATAGCTATACATTTCCGCAGGTATTGTCATAATCGATATACCCGATAACTGACTGGCCACCAGCGATATGGCTATGGGTAGAGTTTTCATTTGTTTACCACCATGCAGATATTCTTCGGTGGTCTCTTCGCCCTTGGAAAAGAAACCGAAATAGACGCCGATACCGGCGGAGATGCACAACATAAATACGAATACGCTGTAATCGAAGGAATTGAATACAAATTGGCTAATATCACTGGCGATGCCACCACCATCGGTGGCATTTAATGCATCCAAAGTGGCCATTGTTGAGCTGAGGATATTGGTGGCAGACATGTGGTGAGAGATTCGGATTTAATTTTTTCGAAATTATTTTTTTTATTTTTATTTCCACTTTTATTCAATTGCACATGCTATTGGGATTTTGTTATTATTTATTTATTTTTCGTTGGGATCCCAGTTTATTTTCCTTTAGGGATCCACTTTTCCTTTATTTTTTTTTTCAATTTCACAAATAATTTTTTTCCTTTTTAAATTTTGTTGATCGTTAATTTGACACTTCAATCACGTTTTCCAATTTTAAAATGTTTCCTCATCACAAATATCGAGGGGTTTTTATAAATTTTTCATTTTGGAGGGCAGAACCTTTATTGAGATTTCCGATGCTGGCGTCAACGTTGGCGGCGACGTCGCTTCATCCATTATCAGGAATAATAACTTACTTAAAATTGGCGTTTATTTACATTTGTTGTTGTTGCTCTTATTCTTAATATTTAGGAAAATTCTTATGAGCGGAGACAAACTTTTTTGTGATTTCTATATATAAACACACACACATACATATATATTAATATAAAAGAGTACGCGTGTCTGTCTGTATTGTAAACATAAAATACTTTTAATGACTATAATTAAATGATATTGATGTTATCGGTTGAAACAGGTAGAAGGAGGTGGGGGAGGACAGTTGAAACAGTTAAAAGTTATAAAATAAAAAATTCAAAATTAAAAATAAAAATTAGGTGTGGAGGTTATACTTCCAAGATAGTGTTAAATATTTTTTTTTATTATTTTCTTAAAAAGTCTTTTATGATTTTTGCAAATGATTATTGTTCTCACATATACCATACCCAAAAATGTTGCTGACTTTTTATTGCCCTACATTAATACTACAAAGTTTTGATGTTCGGTGACCCATAATGAAATTCGATGGAGAATATTTTATCCATTGACATCAAAAAGCTAATATGACATATTGATGGAGGTTTTGAAACTTTATTGGAAGAAGAAAGAAATTGATTTAAAAAAAAAAATTAAATTAAATTAATAAAAGTAAATATTTTGAATAATTTTTAAAATGTATATATTATATATACACATTTCTCTTGTTCGGTGACATATAGTGAAATTTTATGGAGAATATTTTCTTCCTTTATATCACCTCTCCCGCACGAACTGTTCTTCGAAAATTCGACAGATTTTAAGATTAATACGAAATTTCCCAAAATTAAGTGAATTTATTTTTATATATCTTTTTTAAAAGTGGATTTTTAATAATATGTGTTATATATACAGATTTCGATTGTTCGGCGAACCATAATGAAATTCGATGGAGAATATTTTAGCCATTGACATCAAGCCGCTAACATGAAAGAATGAGGGAGAATTTGTAACATTATTGTAACGAGGAATAAATTAATTATTTAAATATGAAATTTTAATGAAACCTAATATTGTGAATGATTTTTAGAAGATATATATTATACATACAAATTGTGGGTGTTCGGTAACCTCTATGGAAATTTTGTGCAGAATATTTTCTTCCTTGACATCACCTCTCCAACACGAAGTGTTCTTCGAAAACTCGGCACATATTTAAAAAAAAACGAGATTTTCCCATTAAAGTGAATTTATTTATATATCATATTTTGTCAGTGGATTTTTAATAATATGTGTTATATATACAGATTTCGATTGTTCGGCGAACCATAATGAAATTCGATGGAGAATATTTTATCCGTTGACATCAAGCCGCTAGCATGAAATATTAAGGGAGAATTTGTAACATTATTGTAACGAGGAATAAATTAATTATTTAAATATGTAATTTTAATGAAACCTAATATTGTGAATGATTTTTAGAAGATATATATTATACATACAAATTGTGGGTGTTCGGTAACCTCTATGGAAATTTTGTGCAGAATATTTTCTTCCTTGACATCACCTCTCCAACACGAAGTGTTCTTCGAAAATTCGGCACATATTCAGAAAAAACAACATTTTCCCAATAAAGTGAAATTATTTTTATATATCACTTTTAAAAGTGGATTTTTAATAGCATGTGTTATATATACAGATTTTGATGATTCGGTGACCCATAATGAAATTCGATGGAGAATATTTTTTCCATTGACATCAAGCCGCTAACATGTAATATTGAGGGAGAATTTGTATCATTATTGGATCGAGGAGTATATTAATTAATTAAAAATGTAATTTTAATGAAACCAAATATTGTGAATGATTTTTTAGGATATATATTATATATACAAATTTTGAATGTTTCGTAACCTATATGGAAATTTTGTGTAGAATATTTTTTTTCCTTGACATAAACTGTCCAACATGAAGGGTTCCTTGAAATTCGGCACATATTCAGAAAACTAGGAAATTATACCTGGATACCTGGATTTATTTATATATCATATGTTGTCAGTGGATTTTTTTTAATATGTGTTATATATACTGATTTCGATGATTCGGTGCCGCATAATGAAATTCGATGGAGAATATTTTTTCCATTGACATCAAGCGGCTAACATGAAATTTTGAGGGAGATTTTAAAGAATCATAGGAACCAAACTGGCAAAAAATCTAAAAATAAAAATTTTAATAATATTAAATTTTGCAAATAGTTTTTATAGGATATATATTATATATACAGACTTTGTGTGTTCGGTAATATGTAGTGAAATTTTATGGAGAATATTTTTTTCCTTGACATCACCTCTCCAACACGAAGTATTCTTCGAAAATTCGGCACATATTCAGAAAAAACGACATTTTCCCAATAAAGTCAATTTATTTTTATATATCATTTTTAAAAGTTGATTTTTAATAATATGTGTTATATATAAAGATTTCGACGATTCGGTGACCCATAATGAAATTTGATGGAGATTTTTTTTCCCTTTACATCAAGCCGATAACTTGAAATATTAAGGGAGAATTTCCATCATTATTGTAACGAGGAATAAATTAATTATTTAAATATGTAATTTTAATGAAACCAAATATTGTGAATGATTTTTATAGGATATATATTATATATAAAAATTTTGGGTGTTTCATAACCTATATGGAAATTTTGTGCAGAATATTTTTTTTCCTTGACATAAACTCTCCAACATGAAGGGTTCCTTGAAAATTCGGCACATATTCAGAAAACTAGGAAATTATACCTTTAAAGTGGATTTATTTATATATCATATTTTGTCAGTGGCTTTTTTTAAATATGTGTTATATATACAGATTTCGATTGTTCGGCGAACCATAATGAAATTCGAAGGAGAATATTTTATCCCTTAACATCAAGCCGATAACATGAAATATTGAGGGAGATTTTTTTAATTTTATTGAAAGAAGTAGAAAATTAATTCTTAAAAAATAAATTTAATAAAAATAAATATTGTTAATGGATTTTAAAGGTGATATATTATATATAACTAAATCTTTTATTTGGTGACCTATTGGAGAATATTTTCTTCCCTAACATCATCTCCCTATTGTAAAGTGTTCTTCGAAAATTCGGCACATTTAAGGAAAATATCCAAAATTTTCCCTTTAAAGTGAATATAATATTTATATATCACATTTGGCAATGGAATTTTAATGATATGTGTTGTATATACCAACTTTGAATGTTCGGTGACCCTTAGTGAAATTTTATGGAGATTAATTTTCTCTTTAACAGTATACCTCCAAAGTGAATTATTTGTGTGGGAAATTGTAAGTTCAAAGTTTAGCTCAATAAAATGCAATTAAAATTCGGATATATTTACTACCTCAAATAAATATAGATTTTTCTATGATAAATATTAATGATAATAATTTCCCTTATTCGGTGACTTATAGTGGAATTTAGTGGAGTATAATTTTTTCTTTATGAGTATCTCTCAAAAATGAAAATTTTTTATGGCCAAATTGGATTAATTTATAAAAGAAATGAAATGAACCCCAACATATTTGCTGTCGATTTGATATCGATTTTTCTATAATAAATATTATAGCTAACGATGTTCCTTATAGTCGAATTTTATGGAGAATATTTTCTTCTTCAGGAGTTTCTCCCTCATATGAAAACTTCGGAGAAATATGAGCCAATTTTGAAAATGTTTTTGAGTACAACAATTGTGAAACACACACCCCCTCTCTCTCTCTCTCTCTCTGACAAATCTAACTTCAAATAACTTAAAATATTTATCTTTACAACATTGTGAAAACATTGTAAAGATATAGTATACGTACGTACATATATTTGTACATTTTTTCTTTTATTTTTATTGACAGTGAGCTTTATTTGGAAATACGCATGTAATGCAAAATAACAACAAATGTGACTAAATATTTGCAAATAAGAAAAAAAGGAGTGTACATTTTTTTAAACAACAATCGGAACAAAATTTTCTTCATAAATCCTAAAATACAAATTCCTAAATAAATAATGACAATTCATTTAACAGATATGAAGACAAGATGTGATAATGAAATATAAGATTTTTGACACATTGAAGGTCGAAATTTGGGGGGTAAAGACTATTTAGTTTTTTTCTTTATAATAAATTAAATTAAAAAATCGGAAAGTTTCATTATCTATAAATAATATATCGAAATTATAAATAATATATCGAAATTAAAGAAAAAAAATATCCACATTAGATTAATGGCGTTTAAGGCTATCTTTTTGGGGGGATCCACTATAAATGGTGATTTTACCTCAATTTATTAACGATTTTCCTATGATAAATATTATAGCTATCGATTTTCCTTGTTAGGTGACTAATAATGAAATTTTCTGGAGAATATTTACTTCTTTAAGAGCACATTTCTAAATTGTAGTATTTTGTAAAATATGGAGCAATTTTAAAAAGGCTTGCAATTGGCCCATAAATCCCATTCAAAAATTTCTATTTAATATACCTCAGTTTATTAACGATTTTTCTATAATAACTATTATAGCTAACGTTTTCCCTTGTTCGATGACTCATAGTCGAATTTTATGGAGAATATTTTCTTTTTTAAGA